CCCCCCCCCCCCCCCTGGTCCAGCCCTCTTGAAATAACCTGCACAGTGCCTGTCAACTCTCTCTATAACAAACGTGTGTGGCTCCATATTTATTCTTGCGGGTCTTGATAAAAACATAGTGCAAACAGCAACATTACCTAATACTTCTTCGAAAATCTACAGATTTTTTTGGTTGGTCGTCTTCTGTCTAAGTTAAAAATGTGCAGGTACTCTCACTAAACTTTTTTTTTTTTTTGAAATGGCACAAGTATTAGACATTGTGTTCAACTAAATTGATGCTGTGACTTGAAAGGTGACATGGGGGTGTCACATGTAGCATATTGTGGGCACTTCTTGACATTTTTAATCTACAGCTATCTTGACCCTGGTGTCAATTTTTGACACAAAAGTGTTATGGTTGTATACAAAGGTCTCATGGGAAAAGTTCCGATACTGGATTACAATTACAATGATAATATCTTCAATTTCCTTGTGTTCTGACATTATTTTATAAGTATTCGTATTCGCGTATATTCATTTAATAGCTCATTAAATAACATAAAAACATTACGCACCAAAAGTGGTAAAAACAAAGTTGAGTTTTTTAATCATTTTCTTCAGAGCTCTTCCTGATAGATCAGATGGGAAAATAGTGTCCCTAATTACGTTGATATTTCCAATGACATTGAAATGAAATAGGTTTGTGGGGAGCCTAGCAACGAATGAGGGAAAATCAACTAAATAATATACTAAATACGTTAATTTAAAAAACAGCAAGAAAAGGAGTATACGAAATAGTGTATTCATCGTTTTAATTCATTGGTAAACGTTCTCCTTTGATTATCAAAAATGTTTATTTTTCCTTTTCTTTCTTTTGTCTGGGCGTAAATTGGGATATTTCTGACCCCAAGTTCCTGCAAGTTGATTTCTATCGACACGGACATCTAGTGTCTTCTCTGTATTCTTTGAGTTATGTATTTTTGGCGCTGTGGTATCACAATTCCTGGTCACCCGCCTTGTAGTTCCTCAACGATAATAATCAACGAATTTAGTTATAAAGACAGTTTAAGATGAAGGAACCCTGCTCTTTTTTTTTCTTTTTTTTTCACGCGTGACTCCGTTCTCTTTCCCCACCCATCCCTATTCTATCATGGAGTATTTCTTACTCAGTTGCAGGTGTCTTTTCAGTATCGGTCAAGCTACCTCTCTCTCTCTCTCTATCTCTCTCTCTCTCTCTCTCTTTCTCTCTCTCTCTCTCTCTCTCTCTCTCTCTCTCTCTCGCTCGCTCGCTCGCTCTCTCGCTCGCTTGCGCTCTCTCTCTCTCT